CTGTGGACGAAACTTGGGTTGGTGTAATTATTACAATGGAAAAGAGCAAAAAATGCTGGACAATTAGATATAGGTTAAATATAAAACTGAATTAACAATTTTCTACATTTCTTGAGCAATCATTGAAATAATCAATTTGCAAACAATGGAAACATAGAAAAAGTCATAGAACACAACTAAGTAGAAGAAATAGAAATATATTTTTTTTATTTATAAACGTTGTCATAGACAACCTAATGCGGCTATGAGAGGGAAAAATTTGTAGAAAACACTAAAAAAACAAGATAAGCTTTTTGAAAAAAGAAAAGATATTTACAAAAGATGTTGATTATATCTAACTGTTGTTGTAGATCGTGAGTATTTCCATAATCTTTGAGTTGCCTGTAATGCTTCGCAATTGCTCGAATTCGAGCAACAGGTACACTAGTTATTTATAAATTAAAAACAGTATATCTTTTGTGCCAGTAGTTAATGCGTGATTGAACTTCAAACAAACAAACAAACATACAAACTTTCACATTTATAATATTAGTAAGATAAAATGTATTAATTAAATATTAATTACTATTGTGTGCCCGTTCTACGCACGGGGATCCTCTAGTGGTCAGTTGAAACCTTCCTAAATAAAGAAAAACTATTGGTTTGCATATTTTCAGATATGCTAGCCAAACTATTATATACAAACAAATACAGTATCTGACAGTTTCAAGTAAAAAAAAATGCGTAATAGATCTATGAGGGGTACACTTCCATATCTGTTGGCACAAACAACTAAATTAGTAATATTGATTATTCGATTGTTTAATTCCATATATCGTTTGGTTAGTTAGGTTAGGTTAACCTTACCTAACTTACCAAACGATATATAGTTAAAATACTATACCTCAACCTCGCCATTAAACATTCAGGTTGGAAATTTCACTATCAAAGGTGCTCTTGGCCTGTCCGTACGGAACACTGAGTTATATGCGCTACCAACTTATGAATAATTGTTTAAGCCTACGAACCCAAGAGATTGATAATTGGTCTGTTGGACGTATGGTCCAGCGAGCAGCACATAGCGTTGAGAAGACACATTAGAAATACGATTTGAGCATAATCCGTAACAATCACCCACTGTAGTTGTCTCTAAACACTTTACACAACCACCATTGAAGTGCCGTCAACGAGTTGAAACCTTATATGTAAGCTATTGGTAACGCTTATGTAAAAAATGTAAGTTTCCCAGGCATATAGAACACTGAGTCAAAGTCTTTTCCCCGGTTATAAACCCAAAACTCGATAGAAATTCTATACACAAAGAAGCTCTATTTTCATTTACGGTTACCCTACACATTATTGCACTTGCGATTAATTAAATCCGTCATGTAAGGAAAAACGGTTTTAATCCAACTTGGTTTGGATTTGCTTTTGAAACTTGATCTGAAATGATTGCGGTATTTGTAAACAATATTCAATGTAAACATATCAGTGACAGCTAGAGAAAAATAATCTTGATCCGAACAGCTGTTCGCTATTTCATATGATGATTATGTGATAAACATTGTGAGAAAACTTGACAAAAATCGCACAAAATTGGGTTTTAAACGTCCGTAAGTTTTTTTTACAAAGTAGCGAGGCCATATTTTAATAGCTAAAGACACTTTCGCCAATTCAGTGGATACATTAAAATGATTCGAGGATCTTGATAGGTACTCTCGTTTTCAGGAGAAGGCCGCGTAAAATGGCCTTTGGACCGTGACAGACGGAAGATAGACAACAACGGAATTGAGATAATAATTGATGATTGAGATAATAACGGAATTGAGATGAAACTTTTTTCGGATTCTTGAATGTTTAAAACGTAAAAATAATCTAAAAGTTGATGATTCTGAGCAATGTACAGACAAAACGGGAGCGTTTCATAAACTCCAAATTTCACAAACTCCAACGCTTAAAATATTAAATGAACAGCGCGTTTCATAATGTCCAAATTTCATAAGCTCCAAAACTATAACATTCAAATAATCACTAGTTCACAATGTCCAAGTTTCACAAACTCCAACGTTTAAATATTAAATAAACAGAGCGGTTCATAACCTCCAAATTTCATAAGCTCCAAATCTATAACATTCAAGTAACATTGTGAAACTTTGGAATCCCATGGGGCGTAACTCAAAGAAAACACGTTAAATGTAATCGGTATATTTGTTAACCAGGTACAGGGCTACCTCTTGAATTGATATAGATAATAAATCGAAAAATAAAGAAATATAAGTTGATTGATTATTGGTTCTAACAAAAGGGTAAACAATCAAGGAACATGATTTAATTAAGTAACCACACATCACTGAGTCTATATCTTCATTCTTTCTTGTAAAAATTGCTTTGATTGTGGCTATATAAAATAGGGAAGTAATATTTCACTGTACAACGAGCTCAAAAAGCTCGAGAACCAGCAATAAGATGGAAATAACCGGCAGAACCTTTAACCATCCACTGGCTCGCTAGTCGCTACCCCAGGTCGGTCGGTAGCCGGGTAGCCCATCAATGGAACCCGTTAGGCTCGCCCCTACCTCTCGCCACAAAAGAGACAAGAATTTTGCCTTGTTCCACACGCCTTTGATTGTTTGAGGCGGGAAAACTATTTGTGTGCTACGGCCCGCGCAACACAGGATATTGTTTTCGTATTAGTTGGCCTTTTCTCCAAGATGACCGTGACCGTTAACTTATTTTATGGACTCCCTTGGAGAATAATTCAAAACTACAAAGAACATTTCTAATCCCACAGTATACTAGCTATTTAAATTATAAACACTTGAAAAATATTTTTGGACGGTAAATTTTACAGCTTTTTGAAATCATCCAAGATGGCCGCTTGCCTCCAAGGACTCAACAATAGGCCTAATTGTGCGACTATAAAGGAATAACTTCCCACCTTACGCTTGCGAATTAGTACGGTACATATTTGTATCCACAGTTGCCAGGACGACTATTAAGACGACCAAAGATTACATTGACATTTAGGTATTTAATCTGTAGAATAGTAATTGTTAAGTAATCTGGAAGACAACTAATTAAAATGAAGTGCGAAAGATGGGTTATGAGAGTGCTCAATGCCTGAAGCATAATCCATTTGTTTGAGGTGCGGATTTTCAAGCTTGTAGAACAAATAAATATCACAAAGTAGAAGGGCAGGGGTGAAAGTGACTGAAGTGACGGGATACCCGGGTGTATTTTCAGTGACTGGATTCCAGTGGTATGCGGTAAAATATATAGTGACTGGCTTAGCAGCACAAATTTTACGTGACTGGCTTTCCCATGCAAATGCGGTGGTGACTGCATTAGCATAGCATTTTTTACGTAATTATATTTTAGTATTTTTAAGAAAAAAAGAGATATATACGTTCAGATATGTCTAGGCTTAAGATATTTACCAACATATATTATATATATATCATAGTCTTGAAATATATTGGGGGGTGCAACTGACTGACTTCCAGTGTATATTTTATGTGACTGGCTTCCCGGGCGCGGCCGTGTATATATATATATATATATATATATATATATATATATATAAATCAATATGCATATTTAGACAAGCAAATGACAACAGTTGTCTTTTTCTCCATGAGAATAACATAGGAGTTGCACATTTGATTGGAATTTTCTCCGTAAACTTTAATTGCACAGAAGCATAAGTAGCAAAGCTTCAAAATAAAAATAAAACATTTTTTAAAGTTTTGCATGAAGCTTTAATAACAATATGGGGTTTCCAGGTTTTCAGGGTAATTATGATAAATCACCAATGTTTTAATTTAACACTTCGTTACCATGACCCTGCTGATGATAACTCTGGTTTGGTAACTCATTCAAGTTTATCCAGCTGCCAAATATATTCATGCCAAATTTAATCAAAATCGGACCAAAGTTATACAAGTTATCGTGTTCACGGACTCACACACACAAATACGGGGTAAGAAAAAAATCCCAGGACGGTTGGATATTAAATAAAAAACAATACATATAGAGGTAAAAAAAAAACTTGTGACAAAGTTACTGGGTATTGGGTATAGTAATAATTTTATCATGTTATTCAGTGACACACTACCTCCTCAGGGGAACGGCCCACTAGGAGTCAGATGAAAATCTTAAAAGTAAGCATATTGATACGCGCATCAAAATTGAAGGTATTTGTTGGTAAAATGCAATTCCGTAAATGTTAACACCTAAAAACCTGAGTCATAAACGGAAGCCGATTAAAGATTTTTTAAATTTCATCAAAACGAAAAAGTCAAAATAGATATCGGTCCAGGGTCTCAGAGGTATTTTTGTACCGTCTACGGTAATAGCTTCTTCCTTGTAAATAAATTTGCTTAAAGAACACAAATAACCTTAACGTTTGTTGGATTGCCCCAGCTAAAACTGGAAGTGATAAAAGCAATAAAACTGCTGTAATTAAAACTGATCATACAATATGAGTGCATGTACATGGTGTGTGTGAGTGTGGTGAGCTGAGGTAAGTATATACAGTGGAGTGGCTGAGCAGTGAGCAGTGAGCGTGCGTGCAGCCCCGCGTGACGGTCGTAATTGAAACTGATCTTCTACTTATTGCCACTTAGCACTTACCTGGGGAATATCTCCGAAAATGGGCTGTAATATTGCTTCCTGCTAATTAACAGTTCACCAGCTCACGCGCCTTTGTGTTCAGCGGAACCGGGACAAACGTCTCAATGATTGAATGTAGAGGGGCTTGGTGTGGTAACCAGAATATTACAAAAACAGCAGTCTACACTTGTCAATTCTTTTGAATCAAGCAAACAGGCACAAATTGACGTCCTAATTTGACAAACAGCAACATCCTCTAACATTTCTTTTTTGCAATGTGTAGGCCTACATTATAGGCCTACTCAACATTCTCTCTGTAAAATAATTGTCTGACCAGGCAGTTCTTATTGAAACTCAGTTATAGTGTAGTTTTCAGCAGATTTTTAACTAATGCTTACGTTGTTTTGTAGGGAAAGTGGAGCCAACGCCTCACACCTCCTCATTCAACATGGGGTACCTCGTGTCACCCTACCCCTACCACAACGGCACGGGTCCCATCCCCGTCTCAATGGTGAGTGATACAGTAGTTAGTAAATAGTTTCCAACAAAGTCAGATTTATAGGCAACTTATAAGAAGTATATTATCTTAAAACCTCCTGGGTTGCTATTACAAAAAGGCCTTCTATTTATTATTGTATGAAACGCGCAGATTGTAAATTTGCGATTAACGTTTATTTAGGGGGATTTTGGAATGTGGACATTGACATTTGTCATTTACAAATAATACTGTATTTCCAAACTGGTTCAAAAGGAAGCCATTGACGTATGTTACATGCGGTGTTGGTGACATTGTGCGTTATGTTTTCGTAGTCCGACTCGCAGGTGGCCTAACAATGGTCATCGTCTGTTGATTAGGCCCCAACTACCAGCGCCTGTAGGCGGCCAACAATGGGCAATCTTTTCAAATTACTACCACCGACCCACACCGGCACGCCCAGCTAGAGGTGTTGAAAATAGGCCTAGGCCGAGGCTCAGGCTCTGCACACACAGGCCTTGCATTAATATTCCTCAGATTACAGTGTTTTGAGTCCATGTACATATAAAGTGGCTGTTTACAAATTAATCCGCACTAGTTCTCTCCTGACGTGATAGTTCTGGAGTGGTCCAGAGGCTACGCTCGAAGGGTCTTGACGTAGATGACGGTCGTCTATATTTGACTTCGGCTTACTTGTGGGATGCTGTGAAATTAATACTTATCTACTATATTACCTATCAAGAAGTCCGGACTTTAGAACTGCTGTAATTGTTCATTCAGTCGTCGTCAGAAAAATAGTAGGGTTTCTCTTTACAAATTTCTCCCTTTACAATTATTTCATATGTCCTGAAACGTCTGTTATTTTGTATCCTAACGAAGGGTATTACTCTCTAACTTGGGAGGTATGGTGTGGAATAGTTCTTATTCTAGATACAGCTAACAGCACTATCAATGGCGAAGTGTAGGGCGAGGAGTATCCGCCGCTTTAGATAACAAGACCAATAATAATATCAATATATGTCGACTCCGCCACAACACGGCGACATAACCGACCCAGAGGCTATTACCCCGGTAATTGACGATCCACAGGTTCATGTGTCCCAGCGTTTGTGCGATATTCCCCACAGCACCATCTCCGTCTCCGCCTCCCACAACGCCAACATCATATACAACCGCAGCTATGGCTATATTTTCAAAGTAGGGCGTTATTTACAAGGCAATCAATCCGAGCGACTCTGGTGACAATAAGAGTGGAGCTCGCTGGGTGAGGCTCGAGCATTGTTGCCGCACTCTCTATGTAAATCCCCGGGTAGATTATGCGCTAGGCCTACATACCTCGACCCACCGGCACCTCGGGAAAGTCCTTGTTAATTGTTACCCTTATACGTCCAACTTTGCACATCGGTGGATACAAATATGCCATTTACATCTGGTTTAACTGTGCTTGCCAACTTGTGAGTAGTGGAATTATTAATATATTCCGAATGAAGGGGATGAAATAATAACGTCACCTAGAGCTATAGAAACGTATAGACCTAATATCATTTAGGTAATGCAACAGTTAACAAAAGTTTAAGATATTAATCGAAAACGCTTAGACAATAAACAAAGGTGAAGGCTAAATTATTAAACGTTTATGGTATGAAAACTAATGCACGAGTAAATAATTATGTGAACCAAGGTAAAGGAATGTGTTGGGGCAGACCCTTGAAAGCGAAGTTTCCAGGTAAAAGAATAAGGCATTAAATCTGGCCAAAATAGGTGGAGTCGATTATCTTGAAGACAGGAAGTCCGCTGACAAACAAGGGTACAAATAGGGGATAAGACCCAGTATTGGAGAGGACTGGAGGCGCCGGCGCCGAGGTTAAAGACAAATAGACCCACAACCGCAAACAAAAACTGCGCAGCCACATCATGTCTCATCATTCTACGATCAGGACGGTGTTTCCAACCTTCACATTAGGCAACTGCGCTGAAGAGAATAACTTTGGTTTAACAACTGTCAACGAGTTATCAGTTGTCATTGCGATCGCTATTATAGATTTACAGTACTACAAATAGTTGCCAGTTACGTATGGATCGGTGAAGCTGAGCAAAAATAGTCCATATACGCGCAGATGATCTAACCAATGTTTTAGTGGTTGTTGATTATGTTCCAGCTTGAGGTCACTACTTTACTCCAAGTGCCATGTTCTTTCATATCCACTTGTTGGTCGTATATGGTGGATTAATTTATTCGAATGCCACACGGTCGTAAAATGTATTTCAATATTGTAGACGAGTACTAGAGTTGAATTAATTTAAGTAAGGATATACTTGAACAGGATAGGTTCCTTGTTTTAGCGATAAAGTGGATCTGAAATTATCAACTACTGCAGAAGTATTACCCATACTCGTATACTATTTACGACGAAGCTTACACAAATTCCTTCCTAAGGTAGAATTAACAATTAACCGTCGTTCCGATGTAATGGATTCCAGGTGAGTGTGATTAATTAACCGACCACCGATTATTTTTTTATTTTTACTGCAATTGGTTTTTAGTAATTGGAGATCGTTACAATATTAAACGTAAGCATAATAAACACATCCTCTACTTGAGTTATGCTTGCAAATCTAAGTCCAAAGAGTAGGCGCATTTGCACATACAGTACCGGTGAGAAGCGATCCCACATGTCAGTTGGTGTTGGTGCACGTCGCACGACGGTCTCTAGTCGGGTCGTCCCGTTTGCATACATCTCTCCCCCTACTCATACATTATGTATTTTCAAGGTCCAATTCAACATTGATTTTCCCCCAAACCATCTCATCTCAACACTACGCACACATTTCACCGAGCTGTGTTTGATCTCAAAGAGTGGATAAACGCGGGTTACAAAGTTAACAAGAATACGGAAATGCAATTTAAATACTGTAAGTTGAGAGAAGAGAGATTTAAAATGTTGAGATTTATTCCGTGCTGTGTTCAAGTTTGGCTTATCTATAGTAGGTATACTTCATAAATGAGCCGAATAAATCCAAAAACTTATAACGACAAAAATGCAACGGCAGAAGTTGGGTTCAACCAGGATTCAACACAACGTGGAACTCATCAAATTCAAAACAATTGACAGATCCTATTAAAGCATATCCTTACTGAAACGAATTCAACTTACTAAAGTACTTAGCTAAAACATAAAAATACATTTTACAACTGTGTGGCATTCAAAGAAATGAATCGACCTAAACGATCAGTAAGTTAAAGAGGTCGCAACGGAATAAAATATCCTTAAAGGAAACGAAACGGAATTAAAGGTTAGCGAGCAGTGAACCGGGGTTGTTCAATTAGTATTTCTTGGCCATCGAGTCGCACTCGAGCCCCGGACTTACCTTTGCTATAAATGTTTCATCGAGAGATGCCTAATTGGAACGGTTTATACGGAAGTATTTCACCGCTCATAAGACCAGCGTCGCATTTAAAACAGACATAAACTAGTGATTTGTGGCGGACGAGACGACGAGACGATGAGACGCGGGCTCGAGCTTGCAATAAACTTTAATTAGGATTGATGTCAGCGATGTGGCTCGTGCTGTTACGGTACAGTTGGTCTAGCAGAATACTAGAAGTGATGATCTTTAATCCATAACTGATAACATTGTAATTCAACAAAAATGCGTATTTACATACAGACATTGATAGCACGTGGATTAAAGAAAATAATAACGTGAGGTTTTTCATTCTATTTTAGGGTGAACAACATCATTCTGGCTACAAAAATCTAACAAAAAACGCAAAAAACGTTTTTCGAAAATATGCAATTGGATGAAAACAGTCCAGTCAATATTCCAAATAGATTAAATCCATGGCACTAGGCTATTTTGCACTGCAGTATACAGTGTCAATGTTTGGGGCCTGACTAAGCGGCGATCAAGATACCATATTTCATAAGATACATAAGATCATACATAAGATTTCATAAGATGCATATTTCATACATCGATGGACGTATGTTATTATTAGCAAAAGTCAACCGTAGCATCTACGTTGTTTCATTGTTGTTTCTGTGCGTAACAACCGAATAGTTCAAAGATAAAACAAAAATTGTTATATATTTATTTTATACAATCCAAACATTTGCATTTATGTAAAATCTACATATTTTAATGACATATCTGCCCATAAGAACTTGTATTACGATTATCAACACAAACTAAGTCCAGCGAGTCTGATAGTGTTATCATTAATTAATGTTGTGCCCCGGGCCGTACTGATCAACCAATTAAACCGTAATCAATTAGGCTTATGAACAAAGAGCGCCGAGTCCATTCTTCTTCTACTGATCACAAAATGTTCGACACACGCTCAACATTTGCTGTGATTGGAATGGACTCCTCAGCCTCCCGTCGTTCCCCTCTTTGTGTTCAATTCTTTGTTTATTGATTTTTGCTGTTTTTGTGAGTGAACTTCGTGAAATCGTTCCACAATTTTCTTAGTCGCAAACAATAAACAATAAGTTTATAAATGAAAATGTTTAAACAATAAAATTACATGTATATTTGTTTTTACTCCTTGTCATTCTTTATGTTTATTTTTAATTAAAAATATTTAAATGTTTAAAGTATTATTTGGGACATGGTTCACCACTGAATAGTTAAAAATACTGTACATCCAACATACGACCAACAGCTCAATTTCAGGATTGATATATTGATTACTTGTAAACGTTGTAGGTTTATTGTTGTAAGGCTTCCAAATTAAAAACTATGATTTTTCCAAACGATAAAAATATTTGTTTGCTACACATTAGGATGCCTATACTTTCGTTATGCACCGTTGGTGCAGCAAACTGTATAGGTCAAAGCTCAAAGCCCATTCGTTGCAAAAGTAACATACAGTATTGGCAGGATACACTATTGGAGTTGTAGACTACAAGTAAAACAAACTAAATCCCGAAATGTTAGAAAATGAAACTTGGTATCTTATTAGCTGCAAATGTATAATAAATAAGCCATTGCAGTTCAGCTCGTGTATGCGGATTTGCTAGAATTTTCCCTTG